GGGTGCTAAAATATTACTGCCAATGTAATTTCCTCACTCGTGCATGTCACCGTCACGGATCCTGGAAAATTGTTGTTTAAGCCACTGCAGCTTGCCAGGTTGAGGCAAAGATCCGACAGAGAAACCCGGAGAAGCAGGAGCGGCAAGTAGGCGTTGGTCGCCATATGGACCTCGACGAGGTGGCTGGGCCATCTAAATCATCTAGCAGCCCTTCTGCATCACTGTGACATGCAACTTCTTTGCCATAATTCAAACTATTACTCAGGTGATGCTTACAGAGGAGGAGCTTGGAAGGGCCAAGAATCCAGTGTTTCTTGGATTCCGACACCTCCACATCGGCTCAGGGTTCTCGTCTGGACCGGGGTTGGCTTCCATCCAGTACCAGATGGCAGGAAGCCGTTTGGTGACTTTGTGCAACTTCTATGAGCTTTGCAACGCCTACCTGGAGAATGTGAAGTCCGAGTCCGCGGCCTCAGGAGCCTGAATTATCCCAAACCCCAAATCCTTTCTGCTGTACCTAGACCTAGCCTAGACCCCCGGAGCCTGATCAACTCACGTGGCACTCGGCAACCAGGACGATGCGGAGGCGGAGGCTGAGGCTGAGAAGGGCAACAAGAACCAAGAGGCCGTGCATGAGCTCATCGCCCCTTGGCTTGTGAGATCGCACGTCTTTGGCTTTGAATTTCGATTCACAATTCCATGCAGCGGCATTTTTTGCGGCTTTGAAGACCGGACACAGCCAGGCCCAGATCGAGTGCTCGGCGGAGTCGGTGAACTTGGAGAGGTTCGCCGATCTGCGGTATAAACCCATCATGGAATTTATGCAAAGCCTCGGTGCCACAGACACAGGCACAAAGCCGCTGCCAGAAAACATTATACCGTCGTGGCAGCAGGCTTTCGTTCGCGCACATGACTGCTTGGCGGTACCTGCTGGGTTCGTCTACGTCGAAAAAGCAATGAGTGCCACAAACACCATCATCAAGCTCCCCTCCTCCTGGATGACGGTGCAGGGCTTGAAGGCGATGCGTGTCATCCAGCAGATGTTTCCGACGTCCCTGGGCTCATTAGCAAGCTGAGGGCTGAGGCTGCCTGCATGCCGGTCCTTTTGGAA